CTATTTGGTAACCCAAGGATGAGGCACGTAGTGCCGAATTGTTATCTATTATGTTATCTTAGAATGAGGCACGTAGTACCGAATTGTTAGCAGTTATTGGTAGACATCCAAAGCATAATTTTTATAATATATATCTTTCTGTAATAATTTTACTTTGGGTGACTACCGGCAGTATACTATGTTTTACGATCCTAGAAATCTTTCTTGCATAGTTGATACTTTCGATTACTATCACTTCATGTTAAAAATACTTTGGGATACTACCAATTTTTATATCCAAAACATTATATATCTGTAATAACGGAGTTAGTGTCAAAGACACATAATTTTACCTTGACATGCTACCGAATACCAGCTATGTTTCATATTTTTTGAACCATTTCTCGTGTAGTTGATATCTTTATATGGTAGACGTCCAAAGCATAATTTTATAATATATATTTGGTAGACACCCAAAGCATAATTTTATAATATATATTTGGTAGACACCCAAAGCATAATTTTACCTTGATCAAAAATACACGACCCAAAAATGGTTATTGGATAAATTACCTTACATTATATCAAAAGTACTTACGTGAAATTACACGACACAAAAACCCCTTTATATGATCCAGGTATCAGAATATTAATTTTTTATTTGAATTTTTTCTTATATTAATTGTAGAGGCGACAAAAAACCCCCTACCTGAGATGAATAACTAGCCGGACGTAGCAATTTCTCTGCTTCAGAAATTACTATTTAGCTAGGTTATATATATTCGATAAGAGCTAAAGATTTATTTTTCAATTCTCTTTTGTGCGGAGTAGTAGGAATACCCAATTTAGTTTCAAAATTTCGCTTATATTCCAAGAACTCAGCTTCATTCATGCTTTCGCACTCTTTTTTCCAGTAATTTTGGTTATCTGAAGATTTGTATTTTAATATAATAAAAAATGCCTGATGATTGTACTTGTTTATTCGGCCATGAGCCCGGTGAAATTTGTAGAGGAAGTAGTCCAATACCTGAGGAATGTAGTCATTGGAAAACTACAAGAAGCATGCCATGTAAAGTATGTGGCAAATTGACCTTTTCAACTTCTGGTCGATGCCTATTGCATATTAGAAGGTACTATGATAAACTTCGATTAAATGTTCGAAAACCTGATATAAAACAAGTGATGAAAAAAAAATAATCGCGTGAATGCTATTTAGTCATGCTCCGCAGACTATGAATAAATCTGATGTTACCTATCCAAAAACATATCGTTAAATGGTAGGTCAAGGTGTAGTCTTCTGCCATTTTTATATAATATATTTCCACACCCTACTAAGATACTTATATATTATTAATAATATTTTTTTTTCGTACATGAATAATATCGAAGTTCAAATAGATAGTCTCAGTTATCCGATCCACGTATCCAGTAACCGATCATGTTTTTTACTTATATTCCATGTACGTCTCAATACCACGAACCACATAACCGCGATAATTAACAGAATAAGAAAAATATATGCCGATAGCGGTGACAACAAAGTGCTTGCTACGGCAGGGACTGCTCCTATTCCTCCTATCGGAAGAGACAAAGCCTCGAGACCAGAATCCGATTCAGGCCCTATGGGGTATTCGTTGAATATCAAAGAGGAATTGTGATTTTCTGTCTGTGCAAGGTGGGGTGTCACGTTCTTTATCTCTTGAACTGGTAATATATCTTTACTAATTTCGCTAATGATAGTTTCCTCATTTATCTTAGAGCTGATCTCAGTATCGACTTTTGATGGTTCAGTAATCTCGTCATGCCTCTTTGAGGCGCTTAAAGGCCTAGTATGATCCGAGATATTACCATCGATTTTTTCAGTTTGATCCATACTTTTTCCATGTACAAAATACTTACTTAGATTTTTGCTAGGTTCATTAACTGCAGATATATCATCAGACTTGGTCATATTTTTTTCATCATCCCCACCAACTATGGGTTTCGATACCCCCTCCGATTTCAGACACTCAAGCTCATTAACTTTCGATTCCAATTCGCTCTTTATATTTTCTAATTCAGCTATTTTGGATTTAAGGGATAATATCTCGGAATCTTTTTTTAGTGAGTCATTTTGAACCGAAAGCACATCCATCTGAGCCGATTTCAACTTACCTTCCAATATCTTGATCATAGACTCAAGTGATCTAATTTTCTTGGAATTTATATCGTTATCGGCTTTAAAACTTGCAAGAGAAATATCTTTGCTAGCATTTTTAATCTGCAGACGTTTAGTCTCAGCAATAAGCTCCAGATCATGGGCACGTAAATTCTGAATCGCAGTATTGGATTCATCTACTGTCTGACTCCATTTTTTTCTCTCCTGTTCCCAACCTTTCCGTTCACGATCAAACCCCTGATCTTGCTTTATGCACCTGTCTTGTAATTTTTTATTACGAGAATTTAATCCAGATATAACTTTTACAATACGAGATTCTTTATCTTGCACATTGGCCATATATTTTGGCTAAACTATGTGTAATAGAAATAAGATAAATCATAAAATTTCTGATTATTAGAGAATATCTAAAAGATTTTGATTAAATAAAACATACCTTTTACCTGAAACCATTTGTGAAATAATAAATAGTAGAGGTATGCAAAATGCAATATCAATTTTAGCTAAAAAGTATCACATATCTTATACATCTATCCATGATATATGGAAATTTGTAAATAATTAGTACAAATGTTTATACATATTAAAAAAAAAAAATAAATATTCTGAAACATTTTGAAACATATACAAACATTTTGAAACATCTTGAAACATTTCGAAACATATACAAACATTTTGAAACATCTCGAAACATCTCGAAACATTTCGAAACTTTTCTTTATTTTTAATAGCTATAAACAATAGAAAATTTCTGATATGGGTCGTATTCATAAAGAATATTATAGCGCTAATGCGAGATTTTTATCAGTTGAGGCAATCAAAGATATTAAAACATCACCCGGTAGAGTACCTGATGCTATAAATTCTATGGCAAAGAAATATCGTATATCCTATGTTCGAGCCGAAGATTATATTGAAAATCGGGAGCGTAAACAACAAATGATATACTCTCATTCATCTCAACCATCTATACTTGTAAATGATTACTTGCCAAACACTGAAATCCCTGGACAAAATATAAATAATGATTTCCATCTCGATTCTCAATCGCAAGTCACCAAAATAACTTTGCATAGCTCTGCTGATATTCCAGATAAACAGACGAAAAAGAGGCGATCGAAGTCCAAATTTGTACGAATTTCTGATCCATCCACTAATAGTAATAGCCAACTTGAAAAGGTATTAAAGGAGGGAGAGGAGCTAATAAAAAGTTCAGATCATATATTAAATAGTCACTCTGTGTCTACCTCCAGTAATTTTTAATCGGTTTTCCTTTTATTCATAGTTTCATATTTTGATTGTAAAAGTCTGTTATGAATATTAAGCTCGGTAATGATTTTGATATCCCTCTCACAATTCACACATTTTTTTTTTAGTGAAACTAGCTCCGCTAACTCTGTATCTGTATCTTCAGAAATAGATGAAATTGCATTAACGTGATGTACCTCAATCTTATTTTCTACCTTGTGCATCGTAACTGGAATGTAAAAATCTTTTCCATTGCAATGAAGCTTCATTTCGGATTTAGGCCAATTCATTATACATTCATGTTTTTCAAGGAAAGAGTTACTCAACAACAATATAGGCATATCATATTCAATAATTACGAAATCTAAATGAAATACACAACCGGGAGCTAGGGTTAGCGGTACGTTATAAACCATTCCAATAGATTTGGTTAGGACAGTGGCCGCCCCCTTGAAATAAAACACCACACTTTTATCGATTTTTAAACCCAAGCGTTCAGCAATGTCTCTAGACATAAGTAAAGTATTGGCACCAGGATCAATTATTATGGCTGAGAGAACTAAATGTTTGATCTTACCCCGAACAGTTGGGACATCTATTACATCTTTATCCCGAACAAAGTTGATTTCCATATCTTCGATAACTTCTTCATCCTCGGTATCTTCGCTTTGTTGAGAAGAAGTATCATTGGTGGTACTAGATTTCTGAAAATTTCATAAGATTTTACTTATAGCCTCCTCTAATAAAGTGGAATTTACAAGCTCGCTTTGAATGATTTCATGAATTCGTTGTTCTAGTAAAGTTGAGGTTGGATTCCTCCTATCCTCTGTAGAATATATATCTTTCTTAGGTCGCTCTATTTTTTTTTAATTCTGTCTACATCAACATTGGAATCTCCATCGGATATATTATCCTCTTCTTGATCGGAAATAGCGGATTCGTCAGGAATTTCTTCTGTATCAGAGTGGCTTTGTTGGAACCCATCAGCAAAATTCACATGACCGATTTTTTTCTTGGAATTATTAGCTATCATATTCTTAATTATGGGACAGCTACGGTAAGTATGTCCCAGCTTTTTGCAAATCTCACATTTGTGCTGGATCGGCCTAGTACTTACTCTAGGACTTCTAGCCAGATTTATTGATGAATTCAGGGAGCTGGGCAATAATCCTTCAGGTTGATCTAATTTATTTGCAAGGTTGATAATTGCGTAATCAATTTCCATCGGTTCAAATACTCTGTTGTCTTCCACCTCAAGACCCATTTCTGCATAGTTTTTCAGTTCCTCATAGTACTTGGCTTTCTCAGTTTTTGGGCGGAAATTACGTTGAAACGTGGGTTGTTGCACAATTTGCTGAGGCAGTTGAAATGTGGGTTGTACAATCTGTTGAGGCGGTTGGAATACTGGCTGTTGAACAATTTGCTGAGGTGGTTGGAATGCAGGTTGTTGAACTATTTGCTGAGGTGGTTGGAATGCCATTCCATTCATATTATTCGCACTTCCATAGTTAAATAAAGAAGGTCTACGCTCCAACCACATATTCTTGAGATTAGTA